AGAGGTGGCACTTCTGTTCCAGGAGGGGCCAGTAGTTGCACTTCGTCAGAAGAGACTGGATGCACCTCAGGAGGCTGCACTTCGGCCAAGGCTGCCTAACCTTCAGCTCCAACACCTTGCTCTTCTTCTTCTCCTTCTCCCTCCACTGCCACCAGCTCAGCATCAAAGTCTGGAGGAAAGATAGTGCGTCCCTCTGTGTCACGCTCCCACCCTAGAGTAATCTGAGGTCGGAAGTCAGCACAGAGACTCTCCCCATCCTCCTCCACTCCTTCTTCTTGTTCCCCAAAGGTGACTGTTGTCACGTCCACCTCTAGGTACTGGGCCTTCACCTTCTTTCTACAGTCGGTGAAGGCCACGATTGCGGTTGGCAGCCGATAGAGTTTGAGGATGTTCTCGAAGGTGCTGGAGTTGAGGAAGTTGCCAATGTGCTCCTCCATCCCGTTGTGAACCAGCAGGTTCACGTTCTTCTTCAGCTCCGCTGCTCCTTTCCTCATGTTGTCCATATATTTGTCTTGAGCCTCGAGCTTCTCCTTGCAGATCTTCCTCTTACGTTCTTCCAGGACAACCTTCGTGCTCAGGACATCATTCTCGTTTTGGAGCTCGGCCACTGAAGGGAGAACTTCATCCAGCCTCCTCTGCATCTCCCTCTTCTGTTTCTCCCATTCCCCCTTCTCCTTCTGCAGCTCATCCTTCTCCTTCTGCAGCTGCTCGCACTGCCTCTGCAAGCTGGCATGATCTCTCACGCTCTCTGCATACTCCTACGCTAGAGCGTTTGTCCAGCTCGCACTCTACAATGCAATCAAAAGTCAGACATCAGATACAGAGGTCAAAAAAACTCAAACATACAACCGGAGTAAATTCCTACTATTTCGCATACCTCTAGGGCGTGCCTCACAACGGTATACCCCACATGACTCACCGCCTCATCCCTCACCCACCTCCTATCCACCTCAGGGAGAGTGCAGTTGAGGTAGTGCTTCGCCCCAGTCGTGTTTGCCGCCTCAAACAGACTTTTCTCAGGCAAAGGAGGAGGGATGAGCTCCTCGCCCCTGCCAGGGCCCCGCACCTCGGCCTCTTCCCTCTCCCGAACCTCAGGATCGATTTCTGGAGGAGAAGGCCGGGGCGCGAACTCCACCACCTCGTCCCCCCTAGCTTCTATCTCTGCCACCCTCCTCTTCTTCCTCTGGAGCGGCGCTACCTCTTCACTTACATCCTCGCCACCCCCCATTATAGGCTCCGGCCTTGGCTGTACCTCCACAGCCCGGGCAAAGGTGCTGGGCAGGCGCTCTTTCTCCGGCACCCCTCTGTTCGCCACAGCTGAAGTCGTTGACTTCTTCCTTGGCTTCTTTGGGATGCGCAGCCCCCCAACAGCACTTGTAAACTCGTCCATCTCAGCTGCAAAACAAGCACAAAGGTCAAAACACACCAACTAAAATCTAACCAACATAGCATAGTATAAACATACACAAACCTTCGCTCAATGAGCTTGGCCCATAGAGCTCAGCAGCTTCTATTGCCTTCGGACTGGTGAGGTACAAGATATCCACTACGTCTCCATCTTCCCTCACTAGCTTCTCCACTTCCTCCACCTCATCCTCGTTCAGCTTATAGTTGTTCTGCTTGGTTTTCTTTGCCTTCCAAGCAGACAACTGTTCCACTTCGGCATCCCTCTTGCTCCACTCGGTGTCATCCACAAAGAAGAATTTTTCTTTCCATCCTTTGATGGATGACGGTCCAGCAGTGAATAAATTCCTATTACCCTTGTTGGATGACCGAGGACCGAAGTAGTACCACCCCTTCTCCCCCCTACCCCCAGCCTTAATAATAAAAAAATGTTTAAACATGTTTACGGTCGGGACCCCCACCCCCCGAACTCTGCAGTATACAAGAAAACCTACTATTACCCTTATGGCATTTGGGGTTAGTTGGGTTATTCATATCCTATAATCTAATAGTAGCCCAACCAGTAACTCTGGAATGGGAAACCTAAGCCCTGCAATCAAATAATGCAGATATATGGGCATCCAATGGTCTCGGGGTGCTGAGCATGCCCTCTCATTCACCTCGGCAGGCCTGATTAGGACATGGTGGGGAAGGTTACAGTTCCCTACTAACCCCCTAAGGCTACTTCTACTCCCTAATTCACTCACATACCCCCTCACCTCAGAAACTATCTCTAAGTCTGGGTCATAGCATCCATTTATGCCACCCCTAGATTCCAAAATGTTTGAGGGAATCTCCTTTTCCTCCTCCTCTACCATTACTTCATCCCTCCTCTCCTCCACCGTCCTCTCCGAACTAGTTGGAGATGGACTGCTCTCCGTATCCATCCTACCGTAATCCAGGGGCATCACTTCACTCCCCACTACACTCCTGGTCTCTTCTGAAGACATCTCAATTTCTGCATAAAGGGGGAGGAGGAACGATTTCAAGACCCTTAACAATTCCAGCACACTCAACACATTCTCACTCCCAACCCTAATTTCCTCCAAAAAACCCAAAATCAACCACAGAAAGGGAGAAAGGAGAGCACCACTTCGACAAAATCAAAGTTAAAAATTTATAAACTTTACCTAATTTTGGTCTTGGAAACTGTTGTTGAAGTCTTGATTGAAGCACAAACCGCACGA